AAATTTTTGAAAATTTTTAGGCAATTGCATATTAACATTCCTTTTGCAGATGCTTTAGCTCAGATTCCAGCGTATGGGAAGTTCTTGAAGGAGATCATCTCCAACCAAAGAAAAGTGAAAGAATTTGAGACAATTGCACTATCTGAGGAGTGTAGTGCTGTCATTCAGAGAAAGTTGCCTCCAAAATTGAGTGATCCAGGGAGTTTCTCTATTCCTATCTCTATGGGTGATGTTTGTTTTGATAAAGCTTTATGTGATTTAGGTGCTAGTGTTTCATTGATGCCTTTATCTGTTTGTAGAAAGCTTGGGTTGAAATATTTGAAACCAACTAACATTTACTTTGCAGTTATCTGATAGATCCATAACTCATCCGAAAGGAATTTTGGAAAATGTGCTGGTAAAAGTGAAGAAATTTTATATCCCTGTTGATTTTGTTGTGTTAGATATGGAAGAAGATGCTAATATGCCAATTATTTTAGGTTGACCATTTCTAGCCACAGCTGGTGCTGTTATAGATGTTAAAAAGGGGAGTTTAAAATTTCATATTGAAGAAGAATCTGTGGAGTTCACTTTTTCTGAAAATTACAAATGCCCTGCATTTACTCATCATGTATTTAGAGTAGATTCTGTTAAGGAGCCAGATAAAACTGATGTTTTCATTGCTAATTCTAAAGATCCTCCTGACATATGTATCAGTGATGTAGGCACAGATAGAAATGGAAGAAGAATGATGTATGAAAGAATTTCACACTCTTTGATTGAGCGTCCACCTGATTGATCAGCCATGGAGTCCGGCTCATGACTTTAAAGAAGCGCTTATTGGGAGGCAACCCAATTCTTTATTTTGCTTTATTTTTCTTTTTCTTTCATTAATAAGTTGATGGTTAAGTTTTTTGTTCTTGATTATCTGGAGATCTTTGATTTTTGGATTTTCGTGGTTTTTCTTAATCATCTGTGTTTAGGTTTGATTTTCTAATTTACTTTAGTTTTGCAATTAGGTTTGTTGGAAGGGCGGAACTCTGGTGTCCAGTGGTGCTGAAAATGAAACATCCAAAAGTCTGAAGAAGTTGGTCGTGTGCTTGAATGACAGTTGCAACAATTTATTCAACAATTCCGGTTCTCCGCTTCACATTCCAAGGTTGTGTCGTTTCTTTTCATTCTTTTTGTTCATGTCTTTTCTTTTCTTTTCACTTGGTTGTCTTACCTTTTGTGTTTTATACATTGAGGGCAATGTATACTTTAAGTGTGGGGGAGAGGAATATTTGTGTTTTGTGTTTATCTTTCTTAAATAAAAAACCCATAAAAAAATTGAAAAAATGAAAAATCCAAAAAGGCCTAGGATGAAGATGGTTTGATTATCTATAACATGTAAGAATTAAGCTATTTTGAATTGTATTGCTTAACTTATGCATTTCTATGTTGCTTTGAATACCCTGTTTCTTTTGCACTTAGTCGTGACTGTGGGATAAGCCTAAAGTGAGATATAGTTGCATAAGTTTGATGTAGATATGCCATGAAAAGTTGTGTTTGATTCACTCATACTTATGTGATTTGTATGTGGAACCCATCATGTTGTGAAGGAAAAGCAAGGCATTAACCCAATATCAGCCTTAAAAAACCTTATTGCTTTGACACTTTGTGTTAAGTAAGCTTGGGGGAGGGGTGTTGGCGGATGCTTCTGAGGTTAGGTAAATTTTAATGAGGGAGAAAAGGAAGAGCATTCAATGTTGATGCTAGCTCCTTGAGAGGTGAGGAATTGGCAACCTGAGCTGAGAGTCCTCAGGCCCGGTGAGGAAAAATAGATGTCTAGACTGCCCTAAGTTGCTGAGCCACTATGTATAGGAGTGGAAAAATGCTCTGGGTAGTGGCCTGAGTTGGAAAGAGTCCTGAAGAAAAGCCGCATGGACCGAAGAATGGGTTACGAGGGGGAATAGGTTATCTGTGAGATAAATCCTTCTACTTGATAGCATATCTGGTGGTCCATTGCATTGAAATATGATATGAAATGTGAGTCTGTTGTTAAAGTAAAATGGTATATTTGCAGTAGAGCTTTTGTTTTCTATGTTAAATGTAAAGTGATGTCCCTAAGAAACGAAGCACACACACACAAGCGTGGGGGCTGAAAGTAACTATGGTTTGCATTGTTAGGCAGTCCATACTAGAGGTAGTCGAAATCTTTGTGTTATATGATGTGATTGAATCTCTGAGGCAGCCAAATTAAATAATTAAATGTTTTTTGTTTGTTTACTTTTTTTGGGATCGCTTGAGGACAAGCAATAATTCAAGTTTGGGGGTATTCGATATGCTTATATTTTACCTATTTATTATATCCCTAATTTGTGATTTTTGCAATATATTTTGAGTACAATTATGCTATTTATGTGATTTTATCTTTAATTGTAGGAATTGTACTCAAATGAAAAATTGTTGAAGTTTTGAGCTAAAATCGAATTAAAAGCAACTCAATGGGAAAGAATTGAAGATTGGAGCAATTGATGGGGAAGAAATTAATGAGTTTAAAGAATTGGAGGGCCGATGATGCAATTTTGGAATTTGATCTTAGTTTTTGGAAATTGGCCGAAGGTTACGATGATGGTGCGGCTGATTTGGGATTGGAATTGGATAAGAATTTTAATCTCGATATTATTTGGGAAACAAGTTTTCTTGTTCTTCAAGAAGTAGGGTTTAGCCGGAAGCCTATAAAAAGAGGATTAGGGATTTATTTTGACAACAGAACTGAACCGAAAACTGGCCGAAAACCTTCACGGCTGCAACTCCTCGACCGTACTTCACCGAAATCCAGCCGATCCAAGCAGCCACCTCTTCTTCTCCTTTGCGCAGCACCCACACCACAATCACCGCCCCTTCAATCTCCTCCACCACCACCTTGCTTCCATAACCACCACTTCTCCTCCATCACCACACACGCAGCAGCCTCCTTCTCCACCTTGCTCCCTTGCTCACACACCATCATCGCCGCGCAGCAATACCTTCTTCCTCTTCTCTGCCTTCCTGGTCACGCCGCACCACCGAAGCAGCAGCATCAACACCGGCAGAGTCACTCAACGTCAAAAGCTTCTTCACCGCAGCAGCCACGAAGCGAGCAAACGTCGGGGAGTTTTGGCGCTTTTTGGCTTCATTCGGGTTTTGGGTTTTGGAGTTTAATTATTTAATCTATTTATTTTTATTATGTCTCTAAATATTATTGAATTATTTTTAATAATGTTTAGTGGCTAAATTCTTTTAATCTAGGGCTTGGGTGTAGCCACCGAATTTATTTGGTTCATTATTATTTGATTTTTTCTATTAATTAATATTTGTTATTCTTGTTTTAATTCGTGTAAGTAATTGGCCACTATTTGCATGTCTGAAGATATTAATCGAAGTAGCGAGAGTGGAAGATTAATATTAGTTCGTAGGAATAATAAACTTAGGTTATAAACTACGAGAGTAAGATTACAACCTTTGCAATATTTGATTTTTAATTGTCTTAATGTGCTTTTGTTAATCTCTACAGTCACGAGAGTAGTCATAGGGTTAATCTAAGTAAGAGAATTATAACACGAGTGTATAGTTCTTAATTAGGTGAGTCGTTGTGAGATTAATGGAAGTTAAAAGTCAGATAGTTATGAATTAAATCAATGTCCTAAGTTTTCTTGGTTTGATTATTTGAATTAATATTATTTGCTTTTATTTTATTTATTTATTTTAGTTTTAAATTTTATAAATCTGAGATTCTCATTTATCTAGATAATAATAGGAGTAATTTATACCTGGTAATTAGTATTCCTTCTCTGTGGGATCGACCCTACTTTCTGCTTTACTACTAGTAATTGTATTAAGTAGGTAATTATTATTTGACTAGTGTGACGACGGCTTGTCACTTTTTAATGAATTAAACGTTGGGTCACTTAAGAACACCGATGTGATAATTCAATTGGCTAACAGATCTGTAATATATCCAGAACGGGTAGTTGAAGATGTTTTGGTTAAATGCGACAAACTTGTTTTTCCTGCTGATTTTTATATACTTGACATGAGTGATGAGCATGTTTCTAAATCTGAAATCCACGAATGTGTGTAAAAACAGATATGCACTTTCAAACAATCTCAAACGAATCTGTGTAATGCACGAAGTACAATGTTCGGCTAGATATAAAGGAAAAGGGTATAAAAGTTGTAACAAACTGAAGAAAAGCAAAATCGCTTATGAATTGATGAATTAAACGAATTACAAGAGAGTGAATTGAATAAAGAACTTGAGAAAATTGCTTGAAAAAGAACAAAGGGGTGCAAGAAAATAAGAATTGGTAAAGAAAAAAAAGAGCTTTTGCAGCTTGTGATCTGTTTGTGTTGATGATGAGTTGTGTGTCTTGCGATGCCCGGGCTCTCTCTTTATATAAGTTTCGGTAATCGTCTTGACTTGGTGCGATATCCGATTCCTAGTTGAATTTGGAGTTTTCGATTTTGTATTGTAATTAAATCCTGTTTCCGATTTCTATTTTTGCCACAATTGTGACTCTTCTCCGAATTGGATTCGGTCTTTTCCGCGTCGGGTGGGCCTTCGATCCATCTTCTTTTCCGACTCGGCTTTGTGATTCTTTGCAGCAAGCAAACTGAGCCGATTCACAGCTTTTGTTGGGCCAACATGATTTTTAAATAAAATCGGTGTCAAGATAAAGCTCCTCCAAGGCACAACTCATTTTAACAGTGTGGTATGCCTTTGAATATCCATCGGGGCAACACTGAATTGGCTTATAAGCAGCGGCCCATAGGTTGAAATGAAAATGGCGTAGGGTGCCCCCCAGTGAATGGCGTGACGGAGATAACGTCTTTAAGTGAAGAATCAGGAAGAAATATGTTCCAAAAGAAAGCTGTTGGTGATCGCGTGGAGAACTGAAATCTAAACCCGCGAATCGAGGAGTACACTTCCCTTATAGGCGCGGCTTATCCACAATAGTCAAAGCATCCAATTTATCCCCAATTTCAAACTTCGAATTCTTCGTTTCTTTCTGTTGTTTTTCGATTTCCCCAAAGCAATTTTCAAACTAGCAAAATGTAAATTTTCTGAATCAAGATGGCTGAGGTGTATGCTGTGAAATTCGATGAGGAGTTGGCGAAAGCTCGGAAGGTGAAGCCGATGGAGATGCTGGATTTGGCGCCGGATTTTGATGATCTGCTAAATCCATATGGTCCCCTTGATCATTACTCCCTGGGGCCTAGTTTTATGGCGGATGACACCATGCTCCGTCGCTATGTTCCGGTACTGCATCCAGAGAATCTGACTCACAAGTTCCGATGTACTCGATTTGGGCGTATTCGGGGATGGCCATGGCCGTCGGTAAAAGGTGAAGTGCATCAAGAATTCTGCAGTTGGTCCAAGAAGATGGAGAAATATCATGCGGAAACCTGGAAGAAAGCCGGGATTTATGATTTGATCCAATTTTGCTAAATGAGGACCTTCGACAATAAGGTTCTCCTTAGAGTGGATCCCGATTCTGGAGTAGTTCCAGCAACGTCTTCTGCTTCCCTTGGGGTTTGATGACGCCCACTCTACTGGATGTGGCGGTGATAACAGGGGCACCAGTAATTGCGTTTGTCAACATTGATGGAGATAGTGAATGACCCGAAGCAGCCTAGGCCAGTGAATTGCAGCAGAGAGGCCATGGAAGGTATATCAAGGAAAATATGCACAAGGAAGGCGATGATCTGCTGCAACACATTCGGATCATCTGTGGTAAGTCAGTCCAAATGACTCAGGATATGTATCACATGGTTGCTATACTTGCTACTAGAAAGTCCATTAATCTGCGTGAGATTATGTTAGCAATGCTACATCATAGTATGTATGAGATTAGGAAAGCGCCAAATGAAACTGTCTTCGGTCCAATCTGGCTATTGTTCTTGTGGTTTATATGTACTTTCCTCATTTAAGGGTGGCATGGATTAATCCGGTAGGAAATCAGTCATTGTGTCTAGGAGTAACTCACACTGGTGTTCCTAGATATGATAGTAAATTTGTAGCTACTGTGCTGTGGGATTTGGTGCCAGATATATCAGTGATATGGAAAGAACTCTCGCACAAATACTGACAGTGCGTTGGTACCCCGAGATTTGTGATGGTGGCTAGGCAGCTAGGTTTCGTGCAAGGTATCCCTTTCTTTGATGTAGCTTGAAGGCACACTTGGCAGTCTGGGAGAGAAAAAATGACTATGCTCGATTGCTATGAGCAAAAGGAAATGATGAACAACAAGTGTCGCTCTGGGAAGGTTGTACCGTTTGAAATAGTTCCTGAAGTATCTGGTGGCTTCCCAATCTAGTTAGAAGAAGTAATACCAACCCTATATCCTCAAGGCCTAGATGGTATTCTGAAAGATGCGTTGCCAATCAACTTAGATATCCCAAAGGCCAGTGTAGTTGATGAACAAGCTCTCCCAAGTAAATGTATGCATTTGCTATTTTCTATAGTAATTTGTTGATAGACACAGACTAACATATGGTTATGATCATGCAGCAACAATAGGGCAAATACCGGTGGCAGCCGGAGGGAAGAGAGCCACTAAAAGGAAAAAGGCAGCAGACCCAGCACCACATATAAAGCATCGGAAGTCCGTCCAGCTGACAGGGCAGAAGAAAGCATCTGGTAGCAGTTCAAAGGTATGTAAAGTTCAGTAGTATTGTGTAGGTCTAAATGACACACTGATCCCTGCCTAATGTAATGTATGATGATTTTTTATGTTTTTCACAGAAACGCATAGAAGCAGTCGACTTATCGGCAGATGAATCGGATGCCATGGTAACAAACGAGCTTCAGAATCAATGGAAGAAGATGCTGGTAGCAGCCCAGAGCAACATGTGTCCCCTCATTCCAAACAACAGTTGACCGCCAGAACCCCATAAAGGAGTGCTACCAAAAAACCCAGTGGCACAGCCGTGATTCCATCCGTGGAGGAATCACAACAGCGCCTGTCCCAAAAGGTGAAAGAGACTACGCCTATGGTGAAAACAGGTGGCAAGACGGCACAATCAGTTGGGTCTGCGTTGAGGGTGTTGCATGGTTTGTCTAAAATCAGCGCAGAAGAAGTCCATGCTCGTTATCATCAACTTGTGGTACTGAAAGAAGGCAACTTGTGCAAAACATTGCTACCTTTTTCTTGTTGAATATGGTGTGTGGTTTTGTCTTTCCTTTTCTTTTGCAACTGCAATAGCACGAAGTTTGGGGCTGTTATAAATATCGTTTTGCAGCAATTTCTATAGCCTGTTCTTTATGATGCGCATCCAACTGTTCCCAACGAGAAAGGTAGTATTTCTTAAGGTACGTAGCATTTATAGACTGCTCATTGATTCTCCCATCAGAAGTAGCCAAAGTGTACACATTTTGGCCTAAGTGTTGATGAATAATAAAGGGTCCTTCCCATGTTGGTGTCCACTTGCCGTATTTAGGATCACGCTGTCCAATTGGCAAAACTGCTTTCCACACTTTTTCACCAACCTTGAATTCACGCTGTCGAACATGTTGATTGTATTGCTTGATAACAATACTCTTTTCATACTCAATCTGTCTGGCCACGTTAATTCTGATTTCTTCTGTTTGCTCTTGCTGAATTTGCATACTCAAGGTATAATCGACTGAATCTATTTGATGCTGATTGGTAATGCGGAGAGACGGGATTAAGTGCTCTATCGGCACAACTGCATCATGGCCATAAAACAACTCATACCGTGTGGCTTGTGTTCCGCCACGTTTAGACATGCGATATGCCCACAAAACTTGTGGCAATAAGGAATGCCAGGCCCTGGGATTCTCCGAAATGTGACGATTCATGATGTTCTTGATAATTTTATTTCTAGCCTCCGACCATTCCCTTGTGCAAAATAAGATGAATGGGTGAGGAAGAAACCATCATCTTTCGCAAAGGCTTGCATCTCTGTTCCAATGAAATATTGTGCTTGATAACCACAACGGATACAGGAAGCCCAAATCGATATTAGATGTGTTCTTGAACAAAACGAATAACTCCCTTTGGTTCAGCATCTTTTAGCGGCATTGCTTCTACCCATTTTGTGAAATAGTCGGTAGTAACCAGAATATACCCGATGCCCACTTCAAGAAGATGGATGAATCATTCCGATAACATCTAGTGCCAACATTGAAAAGACCAAGGCTTGACAATTACTTGCATGGGTGCAGCTGGTATGCGTGGAATACCTCAATATCGTTGGCATTCAACACAACTACGGGCAAAAGAGATGCAATCTTAGGTCATGGAAGGCTAACACCTTGATGAGCGCCACACACACCTTCATGGGTTTCTAGCATAATAACTGTAGATTCAGGACGATTAAGACATTTGAGCAAGATTTCAATCGGCAGTCTTGCGGTAAAGAGATCCATCAATCACCACATATTGGGTAGCCCTGTAACACACCAACTAGACCCCTTTCCTTATACAGAAGGAGTTATAGCCGAAACGCCCGCCTAGCTCTCGCTAGGTCTCGGTAAATAATTTAACAGGTTATCAAGAGCAATAATTTAAGATATTATCATCCCATAAGTCAAAAATTAATGATTAACATGACTAATGTTACTTATATTGTTTACAGAATGTTGAAATACAACATTTTTAGCCATAAATGATGGGTTTATCGAGACCCGCAAAAATTAATCTGAATTCCAAACAGATAAAAAAAATACTTGTAGAAATTGTGGAATCAGGTTCAATCCCAAGAGAGTCGACTTCTAATTCTTAGTTTTATAAAAATTAGAAAATGGGGAATTTTCTTTCTCCAAAATAAAAAGGACAAAATTAAAGTAAATAAACTTAAGAGAAAGTAAGAATGAAAACTTTGGTTCAAGGAATATTTTTCAAATATATTATAGATCATCGACTAAAAATGATTTTTCTACAACTCAAGCATTCTACCATAAGTTTAATACGATAACCATGAAAAAACCTTATATTTTTCAAAAATATTTGACCAAGCCCAACACCTAATCAAAGCTTATCATAATTTAACCGGGCACGATAACGGTTCATTTTAGACTATGATAGCAATAAAATCTTTGAAAATGTAGTTGAATCAAAACAATTAAAATAATTAAGATAACTGCAATTAAAAAGTTTTTGTCCTATAGATACCCTAGTTAGACTAATTATGCACATTCAACATATCACTACCAATATGCATAATCTGCTAATGTGCTACTTAGTGCCAAATGTTTAAGACGATAGCACAACATAAATAATTTGGTAGCAGTAGGAAGAAAATACTTGATTAAATTGTTAGATTAGTCAAGTATCTACTCTCATAAAGATAAATCAAAATTAACAAGTACTTGAATTAAAAATAGAAAGAATAAAGTGAAACTTGTAGTCTCACACATAATATAAATGAATAAAATCCTTGAACCAAAATAAGAAAACTAGCCACTTATTGTGACTAGAAACATCTTACAAATTTTTTAAAAAGAAAGTACAAAATAAAACTAAAGCTTAAAAAAGCTTTGAACGAAAAATGGAGAAAAAGAAGTAGTAGCTAGCCTAATGCTTAAAGCTACGGGAGTGGATTTTTATCAATTGAGAAGGCCTTTATTTATAGTGCCTGCGCCTAACTAATACTCCAAAGGATTAGGAGTCAAAAACAAATCAAATGTGCTTCCAATTTTCTAGTAAATAAATGGATTTAGTTTTGGGCTGATTTTCTTCAACCAACCGAATTGGAGATCAAATTTTAGATTGTTGACTTGGTAAACAAATCTTCCAAGAAACCCATTTGCGTGTAACTTCTTGCAGATAGAATTTTATTAATCGTTTAACTCCGTAAAACTTCGTAAAAGAGTCGTAAAAATGTAAAATGGTCCATCTTTCACTTTTTGATACCTAAAAACAAAATAAGAATAAAATTCCATAATAATCTCAAAAAAATATATTCAATTTAGCTTTAGAAGATTATAATAAAATGAATTTTATTATAATTATCAAATTCCCCCAAACCAAAACCATGCTTGCCCTTAAGCATACTGAAATATTTTGAAAATTTAAAGAAAACTCAGCATTTTGAAAATTTCAGCAGTGACAATAGTTTTTAAAATAAGCAAATCATCACTCATCATTTTTAAAACATGTGTGCCCATTAAATTCTAATAGCTTTGTCAGAATGTACTAAACTTTAATGCCTCACAAAGATTCACTTAATGCACTCAAAAGAAAGGAATATTTATAAGTAAGCGCTCAATCATAAACATAGCATGCATTTCATAGGTTTGTCATGCATCAAATCATCTTAGCACTAAATGAACAATCATGCAACATCAAAAGAGTCTTGTATAGAGTTGTAACGGGGCTAGGGAATTTCAAAGGGTAGGACAAATATGGATAAGTAGACTAAGTTACTGACAATATGCAGACCACATACTCGATTCTTGCTATCATTCCAGATGACCCATACGATGGCAACAGTGATATACTATTACAAATCAAATCTCAATCTACTAAAAGAACTAATACATAAGACATAAGTTATGGTGTTCTAAGACTTTTGATGACCAAGTTATGATGTTCTAAGAAATATTCAAAAGTTGTAAACACCAAACCCCCTTTATTTTTATCTTTATTGTTTCTTTCTTTTTTTTTCTGTTTTTTTTTTCTTAAAACAGAGACGAAGTTGAGGCATACACTAGTGCCCCTTTTTTTTCATTTTTCCTTTCCTTTTTTTTTTTTATTTCAGCATATTGCTTTTTTTCATTTTTTTGTTCATTTCATATTTTTTTTTGGCACTGTACCCTAACTTTTTAGATATATAAAGCTAAAACATTGTTTGCCATAAAACAAGAATACATAACCTATCATACTAAACCGACCATACCAACATTGCTACCGCACAACCACTTTCCGCAAACCAAAATCAAGCAGTGATCATACATACTCCGAATAACGGGTGAAGAGATAGCTAAAAAGTAGGGTCAGAATTATATTGGTGGAGCTCGTAATTAGGCCCAGGCTTGAAATGGTTACTAGGGGTAAGAAATTGAGGTAGGAATTTTTATTGCAAACTTGGTGAAACCTACATGTCCTTATAATTTATTGCATAACTTCATCAATGCATTTATGAAATGTATGACATGAGCAAAACAGTGTAGTAACATACTATGAATGATAACACACGGAAATTGAGCAAGTGTGCTCTTTGGCCATGGAAACTCACAGAAAACGGTAAATTTGCATCAAATCTAGTATACTCTTAACGATTAAAACCAATGGGATACACAAAACCATTTTAGCTCAAAATCATTCGAAATTTTTGAGAAATTAGAACATAAGGAGAGCCAAAATGTTTGAAAAAAATTGGGGATTTTGACAAAAAACCAATGCAAGGGTTTATAAAAACATTTAGTAACAATAAAAGCCTCCGCACACTTAATTTTTACATTGTCCTCAATGTAAGACAACGTATTTGCACAAACAAGAAGTAAACAAGGAGTTTCAAACAACATCTTTTAGTGCAAACTAGAAAAAATGCAGAGCTAGATAGAAAACATAGTAGCACTTAGACATGCAAATTTTTCTAGTCAAACATCATTAAACTTTATAAAGAACCAACTCGGCTGCTTTAAAAAAATAGTCAGCAAGGCAATCAATAAATTAATAATAACTGCATAAGAATTGAGTTTTCGAAGCTCCTTGAAAAATTTCTTTTGAGATGTGAAGACTTGGAGTTGATACCACAAGTAGCTACACGGTTCATGATGTGAAAGCAATCGCCAATGATGGGGATGGTGAAGAGTAGTTGTGATTTCATCATGAACAAATGAGCTCCTGAAAACAAAGAAAAAGGATAAATAAACAAAAAGAAAATGCTAAAGTTATTTTTTCTTTTCTGATTTTTTTATTATTATTTTTTCTAATGAAAACAAACTGAAAACAAATGAAACCAAGCAAAATTTTAACCAAGTCAAAATGAAAGAAACTTTAAACTTGGGTTGCCTCCCAAAACCGCAATTGTTTTATGTCGTTATGCTCCACAACCTTCATTTTTTTTCATTCGGGTAAATAAGTCGGGAATTGTAGGTCCATCCCCTCCACCTAGACAGCATCCGAACCTTCCTGAAATATTTTCAATCTATGGTTATTGACCTTGAAAACTTTGTTAGTGTCTAAGCTTTGAATCTCAACTGCACCATAGGGAAAAACATTAGTCACAACATAAGGTCCAACCCAACGAGATCGAAGTTTTCCAGGCATGA